CTAGCAGTGGGAGAAGAAGTGTGGGTGCAACCAGTACCAGGATCAGAGGGACACTGGAGGAAGGGAGTTATTCAGAGCCGCAAGGGAGAGAGAAGCTACGAAGTGAAGATTGGGGGCACTACAATTAAGCGGAACTGAGTACAGGTCCGGAAAGCAGGTTGTACGCGTTTTACCCAGATGGAAAACCGACAACAGCAGCCAAGACAGATACGCGTCACCCCTGCAGAAGGAAGGAAACTCACACGCAGCGGAAAGCAGTATGGGACATACTGCGGCGCAATCCTAACAAAACAAAAGGAAAAGGATGTAACGGGGTTTAGGAAACCAGTCCAGTATGCTCGACCTTACCACCTAAGCGCAGGTTACCGGAGTCAGCGGATCAGTTCGATCGAGAGAACGCGTGAACCCACCGGGAGACACAGCGATGGCTGGACAGCGAATCACGAGTGGCACACGTATCCAGAAACCGACAAACCGGATTGGACAATAGAACATAGAGGGCGCACTGGCAACTCGAGAATCGCTATTAACGGCAAGTTTCAGAGTGCAAAGCCAAATATGAGTGGTCCAAAGAAATACGGCCAATCAGATGCCAAGCACGAAAGACGTGATCATTGCGCGAGACAGGAAGACAGCGACCGAAGAGGAATAACATAACCCAATGAAATAAAAGGGGAACGCAACCAATGAGGTGAGCCGAAAAACAGGAGACCCACTGAGAAGGCTCGAAGATTAACAGTGTTTATTTCCTTTAAATAGGCTACACTATACTGAATAAACGCCTGTTTTCCGCCCGCCGCCATCGTGACTTTTTGATCGTGTCCGTGTCACTTAACACAAGAGACCTACTTCAATCACTTTCAGTGTCTAGTTTTCTAGTTAAACTTCAGCTTGGTGCAGTGTACGAACCGATGTTCCACTAGGAAGTTGTAACTGATCGCTATCAATTAACTAAGCTCGCTACTGGGATTGTACAACGCGTACCTTGACCTTACGCACGCATACTTACGATGCAGTGTAATATCCACGGTTCGAACCTACTGTGTAATCTGTCGTCGTAACCATAGAACTTAACCCCGATGAACACAATGTGGAGTGAAACAATCAAAATTCAATCTAAAAGCGTTCCCGGAGGAAAGTAGGAATAATTTTATGTTTAAGCCAACAATTTTAGGCAGTAGCACGAATACGCGAGCACTGCGAACCCTTCAAACGTACCATATGGGATAGGGTACCCTGTCACTGATGTGGTGTTCGCATCAAGACAAACATGTATCAATGCGACCAAGTTCTCATTCAGTTGCTTCATGCTTTTTACCGGGACATCATCTGGCGACCTTGTAAATCCACCCACTTGCCTCAGTAACATTAAACGGCATCAATTTGGGAAAGACTAATTATTCTCAGCATGATCTCCTGGATAGGCGATCTCGTGCGGTATGTTAACTATCTTCTCCATGCTACACCTCAAAATCTGCCGGGTCCAGTGATGCAGTCGCGACATGAAAAATGCATTCAAATCGCTGCCTCACACGTGCTTGCTCAGAACCCAATATGAAGTTCACTATCCTCATAGCTGAGTGCCTGTTCTCAGACTGTCCGACGGAATCTCATTTCCACTGGGACATGGTGCAACAATTGGATGATGAAATACTCAGCTGAAACAACACGTATGACATCCTGCAAATTTTCGACCCCCAAAGCATCTGCTTGTACAAATATGCACTTGTTTTATGCAGTCGTCCTTTCACGACTTCGTAAACATGTACTCCTCCACCTGCACTGTTTCTGCGTAGGTCCAATATCAAATAGCGCAGACCAATCAGTCTTTGGCTAATATGCTGCTACATTTCAGCTTTCTAGTATCTCCACTGACCCATCATCGAACACTGTGGTCTCATTTAGACGAGCTGGAAGGTTCTATAGGACCTACGCAAGTTGTTTACCCAACTTCTATTCCATTAGACGTCTACCGAAAATTATTGAGAGCGTTACCAGCAACTTCGGCTTCAACCTATTTGGTTGCGATGGTCGAAATGTGTCTTGCTGCTCATGCACAGTCTGGTACACTAACTGATTCACTGCTGTTTACCTACGCTGAAATCGTTGCTTAATTCTACTTTGGGGATCATATTAGGTCGTATGCTGATTATGCCAAAAGCCATAACGGATGCGCTTCTATTTTTTTCTCTCACTAGATATGATATCTCGTGAAACAAGCTCCTACTTACAGTCAGAGCATGCAAAAATACGACATCATTCTATAATAAATCTGCTGTGTGATTTTACCCGAGCGTAGTTATTCACATTCTCATTTGTAACATCATCCGATGAGATGTCTCAACAGCGACCAAAATATCTGGTTCATAGGAGCAGAAGAGGTTTACACATGGTAAACATCCGCAGCTGTTAGCAAAGAACAATTTAAGTAGCTAAGGATTCCAGCATAAGCACTTTTTACATGGAATTAAGAGAAGGGGCAGTGCTGTCATTATTATTTTTATGAAGTTTTATTCGCGCACTGGCTCTTGCTTGGTAATACATGGGTACAACTCGAAAAGCAACCTGCCTATGCGAACGTCTATTTTTAATCTCCATGTACCCAAGGTTTATAGTCATTAAGTAACTCGTTCTGAGCCTTCCATTACATAAGAATGCTGAATATGCTATTGATAAGCCTCAATAAAACGAACCGGCCGCCTAGCACTTTAATGTGTGGGTTCCGGCTTTCTGACTGAGTCCAGTTGCGACGATGCTTTCCAAACACACATTACATCCCTACTACTCACTAATAATGCAGAACATATGCAAGCACTCACATCCCCAAATTGGAGCTTCTACCACCCAGACTGTCGTTAGTGCATTTTTTGCCGCACTAGAAGCACGCTGGGAGAAGACTACTAGCCAACACATGTTTTACTTTTGCAAAAGCCCAATCACCTCCGTACCGCCTACTAGGCATCCACTATTGGCGTCATTCCGCACTCTTGAGAAACATACCTGCTGTTGTTGGCACTTCGAGGCAAATAGTCAGAGCATGTGACGGACATGACTTAGCGTAGGCAGTTCTAGTTCATCAGAAGTTGGAGATCGATGCTGAGGCATCTATTACCACCATATAGTGGACCTCGACACTGCTCATTTGCTAGTCTTGTCTGGTGTTGGAAGCGCCCTCTAGACGCTGGCGTCTAAACGATGGTAGTCTCATAGTAACACCAAAGCGAACCAGCCGTTTCCAGTCGGTACTGCACCACTAGCTGCACTTTGGTCATGCGTGGTTTAATCTTTCCTGGTTGGTGAGTGGGCTCAACACTTTTTTAAATCACTAGGGCGTCGTAAAACCAAACGGCCTTCTATAATGTGCTAAGTTGCTTTGTCGGCGGCCTTATTAACACAGGTCAATCATCTATCAAAGTAAGCGAGTAGATGGATGAATCTCGTTGGTTGATCGATGAGATAGAGATATGGTTCCGTGTTCTTCTGCTCCTTGCAGGGACTTATCAATAAGTATCTTCTTAATGATGGAAGATAGAGGAAGAACAGCGTGCCATCACTGCTCGGTGCGATGCGATTGGAGCACCGAGCTCGAATGCAACTTTTAGATGAACCACCTGCCTAACTCTCGAGGGATGGGCGCGCCGCCGCCAAGGACGTGATGGGCCTGTCCACTCGAGTCTAATCTTTGCTGTGGTGGTCGAGAGCCGTGCTTATATTAATATGCGATAGCGTTGTTGCCTACAATGACTGTAAACTGGAAAAGTGGTAGGACTTTGGGTATACATGAACTCTTCACATGCGGGTCCATGCCCATTCGTCATATGAGTACCATAACCATTTAGGTGATCCTATGAGGCTGCCTACGTAAGCCACATCACCCAGCCCATATATGGACAGATCACCATACATTTTCTAAACCAGCCTATTAGGGACCCTTAAAAGAGCTCTACCTGGGACAATTACTGCGCTCTTAGCCGGAACAAATATATCTATAGTCATCCACGCAATATTCCGATCGCTTTGTCACGTTCGGAAAACTCCGATAATACAGCCTGTCCTTTCGCACGGTGCCATCTTCGCGGCTGAAGAATGGCTCCCTGTCGATTTCAGTCTACCGGGATACTCTGCTTATTTCAATCTTATTCTTCATAATTGAACTCACGCAGACAGCCACTAACAACCGAAAAGTACTGTAAAGCAGTTTTGTCCTTTCGGACCTCTACTAATGCGCAGTTGCTGGGTTCGGTGACCGACTCGAACCCGTTCCCAAATATTTTCGGGCAGCTCCATGCTTCTCTGATCATAAGGTTGCAGGAGCTCCACTTAAAATCAGAAAAAGAACCGTGCTATTCCTTTACGAATAATATTTTCTCTTTTTCAGAAGGTTTTGGAAGTGGTCATTTCAATACGTATGGTAGAGGGCCGGTTAAGATATTTGTTAAATGCGCAGCGTTTCGTTTTTGACTCATAAGCGCTACTTATGGTACCATAGGTTATCTAGCAGGTTAATTTTAATTAGCGCTTGCGTAACTTTGGCCGTCGAAATCACCGAATTCTGTACCGGCCCAGTTTTCTGAGTTCCCAATTGCAGTTTCAAACCGCGGCTTCGAGCCCCGCATCGTGGACGTACCGAGAGGACTGAAAGACTGCCCACTATTTTTGCGAGTTTTTGGTGACTGCCCTGCTTTGTTCAACTGCAATGCATTCGATATATATGTGTTATACAATCTTTGAAGTTGCTGGCAGCAAAATACATCTTCTCTTAAGATGTATCTTGAGATTCCACTCCTCATGTCAAAACTATCACTACTTGATCTAGGTTAGTTGATAATTTTGTCTTGGTAATGCTTTCTTGACCGTTATCAGCATTGATTCTCCCCTAGCATCTGCTTGCAGAATTTAAAATTACATAATTAAAAAATCCTACCCGGCTCTTTACCCATCGGCGTTTTCACAAATATGTTCTGTGAATGGTTAGGACTACGTAGTTCTTTAAAACTTACCTCAACAACTGACCTTATTTCTTGGACCGGAGCTACTTGAATTTCCTCCATTCTTCCAATCGACTTCACTGGGTATAGTAAAGTCTGACTAGGTTCCGCCGGGACACGATTTGATGACGATGAAACTGACCAATAGATTTCCTCATTATCTGATAATTGTCCGCCAAAGGAAGCCTCCGAACTGGAACGTTTGCGGATCATACGAACGAGAAAGACCAAAGTGTATTTGATCACATGGTAGAGGATTTCGCCAGAGTCCAACATGGTACCTTACAGTCACTCTCATAGGCCATGATGAGTTTGTAATTCCAGAGCAGACTTATATATGCGCTATGTATACATAGCAGCTGAATATCTGGCTGGATGTCACGCGAACCAAAAGACGTCTCACTGTCTAACGTCTGCTGGTACCAGTGCGGCAAAGCGTGGATCAAGGACCGATTGTCTGAACAACTCAAGCCTCGCTGATGACAGCATTTCGCATTGCCAGCCGCAGGTGTGTGTCCTGGTCGGGCAACGAACGACAGACAGACCGAAATATGGATCGACAAACGGACACGTAGTAGAACAGTAGCATTTATCTGACAGTGTTGACGGATGTTATCACCCACAAAGTGGGCTCACTATAAACAATTTCCCCCCGAAAATTTGAGCTTAAGAAGCTAATTAGCTATGAATTATTGCATTTTTTGGTTTAAATTATGGCAACTGAATACTATCTTAATTATTCTTATTCATTAAATAAAAAACGCCTATCTTTGAGAAATTTTTCATTAAACAAAGGGGTAATGAACGTTGGCGAGACGATTGATATTGCTTACTTCTAACGATTTATGGTACCTTCGGTGCGGTTTAAACTAATGCACATCGTAAGTCGTGTTCCAATTTCATGCGGTTACTTGCTTTGGTGGCTGATCCCTGGTCAAACAGGAATGGATATCAATGGCTTCACTGTTCTTTCAACCATCCCCTTCAAATCTGTCCTGGATGACAGCTTCCCACCACCACTTTGTATTGATACGACCTGAACACCAATCACCTATTTTATCCCTTCTACTTTGCCAACAATCGCTCGTACCTTTGCCTGGTCGACTGATCTATGCTGCCACGTTAGTGTTCACTCAACTCAGTAATTCGACCCAGCGAACGAATGCAAAACTCGAATGACCAACGATCGACGAACGAGCCAATAGAGGCGCCATCTAGCTGCAGGTTGGTATTTGGTATTTTAGGTAATACAATTTATTACCGAAAATTGTTGCCGTCCATTTACTGATGGCTAATCGGTAGTGACTAGGTGGTTACCTACATGTTTTGCTACAGATGCTTTTGTTTGGCGACACATTGATGACCGTATCGTGTAGCCATGTTTGCGGTGCTGATAGCTTTTGTGGGACTAGACTAAAGTACACTGACTGATGAGTGCTTCCCACAGTTAAGCGGCGGGCTACTACAACTGTCTCGAAGGATCACTGTATCAGCCGTAGGATTGTACGTCATTATAAGAATCAGCATTTTATCCGATTTCTCGAAGTCTGTCTAGGCCCTCGAAAGACTCTTCAGTGTACTAATCTTATCACGAATAAATCCAAATGTTCTATAACGTTTAATTCGGTGCCATATCATGGCAACAATGAGCTGAGGGTTAAAGTGGGTTGTACGGTACAGGTCGACAGCCGTCTAACCGATTGGGATCCTTCTACTAGTGGCGTGCCCCAAGGCACGTAAGTCTGTGTTCATTCGCCTGGGGAAGGTTGGTAACGGCCAACGGCTACGCCCTGTACCTTCCGTGAAGGACCTATGTGTACTTTTATAGCATGCGATACACGCGCTATACTCCAGCACACTATATTTCCGCACTGTACTTCGAAACAGACTGTATGTTCTTTCGGGTTTCACACGCTCACCTAGCTTCGTAATTGGTTTGCAGAATTTTCATCACCAAATGAGGTGACCTTAGTTCTCCGTTGGGTTGATTGCAGTCCGCTGATTTGGTCGCCGATTTGTGGTCGACTAGCAAGTGACTTTTGAAGTGACCTCCTCGATCTGTGCCCCATGACCTTCGCCCGTTTGACCAAGCTCTGATAGACACGAGCGACCCATGACTTCACCCTGGTTGTGCTGTTGATGGCACGCTTAGCTGCCTACAATAGTTTTCAAGCCGTTTTAGTTCTCTCGTTCTTAACATTTGGTAATCTGCACGCATGTTTACTGTGTAGTTTGTTGCATACCATGCTTCGAGCAACTCTCTTCTTCTTAGTTTCTCTCTTTGTTCTAGGAACCCTGTTCTGTTTCAGTCGAAACGATGTCCTTCGTCCGTATGCGATGAAACCAGGGCGAGAGTGCAGTTGTTCTTACATGCCCTCCTATGTTCTTGTATCTTTGTTCGTAGTCTCCTTCCTGTCTGACCCACATAGTTCTTATCGCAATCTTGACACTGTATCTTTTACACAACATTTCATCTTTCGTGGGCTCCAGATTTAATTTTTGGTTTTTACAGGGTTCTCAGAGTGGTAGTTTGTTTGTGAGCCACTGCAAGAACGTGCTACTTACACAACCTTGCTATCACCTCGGAAATGTTTTTCGTGTAAGGTAAAAGGATACTCTCCGTTGTCGTTTGGACAGGCTGAGAGGTCGGGACTTTGTTGTCTAAATATTGCCGGACGAATCTGTGTGGATACCCCTTTAGGAGAAATGGTCTGAGCCTATATATTTCTTTCTTCCACTTTGCTTCACGCGTGCTGCAGGGTGGTTCAATTTTACGAGAGTTCGCACGCAGCTTATTTCGTGACACTGGGTGATGGCTGTCGTAGTTTAGAATCTGGTCGGTGTGTGTGTTCCTTTCCTGCAAACTGGTGTTTGCAACTTTCCATCAATCATCCTATTGACCAACACATCCAATAATGGGAGTAAGTTTTCTATTTCCGATTTCATAATGAAATGAATATCTTCACATGTGTTGTTTGGCGACTAATATGCAACCTCCACTTGGCTGCGTTTCACTATCACGAATGTATCATCTACTTATCGAATTCATAACTTTGGTTTTGTTATGGGTAGTACACTCTCTTTAAGTTTCTGCATTACTATCTCTGCTATGAGTCTTGATATAGTGGATACTATCGGTACGCCTTTCACCTGCTTACAGATTTATGCATCAAAATAGAAGTAGGTTACTAGACAGAGGTCAAGCATCTTGCACAGATTTTCGGTCTTCATCCTTCCGATTGTTTTCCTGCTTTGACTCAGCCGTTCGGTGATTGATTACTTTACTGTGTATAAGTTGATCAAATTAAAGAGAGTGCTCACGTCGAACGACACCAGTATTTCCTCATGATCTACTCACATGCCTTTGAGATTCTCCAGAAATTGCTGGGCACTACATATAGAGTGCTGTTATCCAATTATTAGGTGCTTGAGGCGTCTCCACAACTGTCTCGCCAGGTTGCACGTGGGTAGCTGGGAACGATACGATTGATCGCAGTAGTACATCGTTTTTACGTATTTTTGGAAGCCCGTATAATTGTGTCATGTCCGGATCGTGAACCATAATTCTGCCATGGTCTTCTTTTGTGCTCTCCTTCTGTTCCTGGAGCAGTTTTAACCTTCTGTTTAGTCTATTTGTTAGTTGCGTTATTGGATCACTTTCCATGCGGCAGTAGGATGTTGTGTCGCTCAGAAGCTACATTGTTTTTTTCAAAATATTCTTTATACGATAGAACCGTCATGCATCCCTTATCAGTAGGTAAATGACAGGGGATTCCTCAGCTTTCTTGCCTTTTACTGCATCCCTCTCCCGTTAAAATAGTGCATTAGGCTGTTTGTTACAGGTCACAACCGGAATAATTTTATATCTAAATCGTTTCATCGTCAAACCCACGGGACTGGATTGCGTTTTCGAATCTGGCCTAAATCACTGTAGTCATAGTCATCCTTGAAGTTGGAGTTGATTCCGTTGATGAGAACTTGTTTTCCTGTAATGGAAGTGGATAGCTTAGTTAGTTTTCGGATCCAGTCCTCCTAAGTGGCGTTGCATTTGTTGTGAGTCAGTTACAGTAACTTGTTCTTTAATGCCTTGTTTTCTCCTTCTAGTGTTCCCCACTCTGTGTTTTATTTCGAAACTGAGCTCACGAGACTCATCAACAACGGGCAACCAAGAACGTCATGGGCCTCTTTCATCTGCCCTGTCAGCTTGGACTGAAATCTCTAAGAATCTACAGCAGTCGATATCGGCTTTTGCGGGGGGATCTCATAATGGTTTACCGGATTCTGAAGAACTCAAACCACATTTGCCGTCCGCTGCTGGAATAGAACCACAACAATAAACTAAGAGATCACCCTCTGAAGCTGACAATTCATTATAGCCGGCTTGAATGCCGTAGAAATTTCTTTTCTCTCCGCGTGTGCCAGCCTTGGAACGCCCTCCCTAATTATGTCGTCTCTGCTCCCAATCTGGCGATATTTAAAAAACGTGTTGACGATGCATTGTCTCACTTACATTTCATTTTATGACTTGTTAGCCAGGGGCTACAAAACGCAATCAAACGGTGTGTTGCCAAACGCCCAACCAATGAATTTATACGTTTAATGCGCGAACATCTCCGCTATTCCACATAAGTCTATGGTGAGTTCACCACAACGCTTTTCACTTTATTATGCAATCGATTTTTGCAATAATTTCCATCCCACGGGACTTGTTAAGCGATGCTTTTTTACCCGTAATAAACCATTGTTCCATTGTTCTCTGTTAACTGTTGTCCCATAACTTTCAGACAGCTGGTTCGATATTCGTTGATGCCTCGCTCAAATTTCGTTTTACAATTGTAGACGTCCGTGCTTTTAATCCGCACCATGTTTCCCAAATTATCATGCAACAATCCATGCATGTTGATGGTTAATCGGAGGTCTGTTGCTGTTGCTGCAAGGGAGAGTATCATTTCTTAAGCAGTCATGAAGAAAAGTGAGCTACCACCGTGTGCAGGCACGCCTGCAGACGAATTCCTCCCGACAGCGAGCAGTACGGAGGATTCCGCGCCCATAATTGTCTAATGACTTGACATACTGGTAGGTCGAGTGGATTATTGCGGGTTTCACGTTTTCGCTGCGCTTCGTAATTGCTTTGAAAACGCTTCATCACCAAACCAGCTGACCTCAGTGAGCTATCGGGTTGAAGGTAGTTCGCAGGCTATATCGTAACAAGCTGCGCATACTTGAGACGCTTCAACGGACCTTCCGTACTTAATATGGAGAAGTTGCCACTCACA